TTGAGAGTTGCGCGCGGTATTATCAGTTATGAACTTTTTAAGAGTTAAAAGAGTTCAAACATCAAAGAAAATAATAATTTTGTTTTACTTAATAATGGACATTAAACATTTTTATAATTTAATTACTGCTTCAAATTTAAATTGTGAGCTTGGAACTATAAATTGTAAATAAATTTAAAAATATATAAAACGGAAAAATGACGTAAACGCAATTGTATTAAAAGCAAACTTTATATCAAAATAAAAATTGAATATACATGCATGCAATTTTGTAGTTTTTGGTTTTATTATCTAGCAAAATCAAAAATCAAAAATTGAAAACGCGCGCTTGCTCTAACCAGAGCCCTTTCGCTTGCAGTAGCGCGCGACCGCCGTAGGCAACTTGTTAAACAAGCGCGTCACGCAGTACGCGTATACACATGGCTATGTGAAAACGCGCGCCAAGTTTGAAGTTAAACTTGACGGATGTTACTCGTCTAAATTTCTTCGAAGTAGCGCGCGCCGCTTTATTCTCGAAATGGCCCGACGGCAAGTGCTACGAAGTAGCGCGCGCCGGGCCAGATCATTAACAATGGTCAAAAGTTAAACTAGTCGACGGTCAATATTTAAAACAAATATTTTAAGAGTATCACTTCTTAACACCACAGTAAGTGAAAAAACGAGCAAGTGACTAATAATATAAGCTAAGTAAAAAGTACAACTAGCGTTTTAATAATATAAATCACTTTACACTCGAACTTCAAAATTTTCATATAAAGGCCCCCGATTGTCGCGTGATGCACTACTGGGCCGCGCCGCGCATCAAATGTTACTTCTCGTTAGATCAGCGAGATACTATTGACTTCACCTAACCATGTGCTTTCGCGCCACTTCGGGCGCGCTTGTTTCACAAGTGAGGCGGGCGCGCGCTACTGCAAGCGCAAGGGCTCTGGATAGAGCAAACTATTGACCATCGTTAATGATTTGGCCCGGCGCGCGCTATTTTGTAGCACTTGCCATTTCGAGAAGAAAGCGGCGCGCGCTACTTCGAAGAAATTTAGACGAGTAACATCCGTCAACGAAATACACTAATGAGCCTGATTGCCGAGCTGTGAATAAAGAAGGATTGACATCGTCAATCACTTAGTCAACCTGTAATATTTATTCATCCGTTGGGTTAGCTATTTTTCTGTTAGGTCTTTGCAAGTTAGGTCATTGCAAGTTCCAGCAGCTGACTCAGCTGAATGACCAGACAACTGTGATTTAGGGTTCATTGTGAAGTAAAGGTTGCCTCATGAAAATATATCGTTTTAAGGGTATCCGTCAGTTCACATTCATTGGAGTGTATTTTAAGCACTAAGTATATTGATTTCAGATTTTATATGATTCAAATTTAAGATTTAAATAATAATAATAATAACTGCCGGCAGTCGCTTCGTGCACTGCTCGTGTGGCCGGTCTCGGCAGAGGGAGCAATCCCGATGTCGAGACCGCGATGAAAGCTTAGATGTCAAGACCAGGAAACTTAGATGTCAAGACCAGGAAACTGATGAGGATAAATGGAGCTCACCACCCCCAAGGAGATGTTGATCGGTTATACGTAAGCCGTCAACTGGGTGGCCGTGGGCTACATAGTATAGAGGAAGTCGTAAAGAGAGAGGAGAATGCACTCGCCACTTATGTGGTGAGAAGTAAAGACCCAGAACTGATTGCTCTGAAGGACTACTTTGTCAAAGACAAGATACTCTTGGGCGAAGAGATAGAGAAAGATATCGACCGAACACAACGCGAGGAAATCCGCAAGGAGAAGTGGACTGCTAAAGTGATGCACGGACAGTTCCCAAGGCAGATGATGGCAGTGGCGTAACGAAGGGCCCTGCTGACCCCGCTGTGCAGGGGGGCGCCGTCTTAGGGGGGCGCCAAATCGTCCTTTGAATGTGGGACAATTTTGAAAACTTAACTAAAGTACTAGCAAAACTGCGCGTTTTGCTCTAGATACACACTTTTTTAGAGATTTTACCGGCGTATCCTCTAAAATCACCTTATTTGTTCAATTTTAGGGAGGGGCACCAAAAGAGGAGGGGGCGCCAACAGGGGGGCGCCTTTTCGGCAGGGGGGCGCCAACAGGCGACGTTACGCCACTGGATGATGGGTATAGCGGACCCGTTAACCTCTTGGAACTGGCTCACTCAACAAGACTTGAAGAAGGAGACAGAAGGATTGTTGATAGCATCCCAAGACCAAGCACTTAGGACTAATTATGTGAAGCACAGGATTGACAAAACACCTGGCTCTTCTCCCCTCTGCAGACTCTGCAGAAATCATTACGAGACAATAGACCACATACTGAATGGGTGCCCAAAACTTTCACAGACAGAATATAAGTGTCGGCATGACAAAGTAGCTGCCGCATTGCACTGGAGTCTGTGCAAGGAATACGGCTTCCCACGCAGTAAAAGGTGGTACGAACACCGGGCAGAGAAGGTGCTGGAGAACGAAAAAGTCAAGATATAGTGGGACTTCCATGTCCAGTCGGACCACGTTATCGAACACTGCAGACCGGATCTCCTCCTGGTAGACAAGGTAACCAACGCAGCAACCATCATTGACGTTGCAGTCCCAGGAGATACCCGGATCCTGGATAGAGAACAAGAAAAGATACTGAAATATCAAGACCTAAAAAGAGAAATTAAGAAGAACTGGAATTTACGAAAGGTCACAATCGTCCCTGTGGTGATAGGCGCATTAGGAACTATCACCATTAACTTTCGTAAACACCTCGACGCAGTCCACTGCAATCTGAGCATCTCTAATCTCCAGAAGACAGCTTTGCTTGGATCAGCCAGAATTCTCAGGATGGTCTTAGACATATGATTTTATTGAGAGTATATTACACTGTAGATACTCTATATTTAGTTTATTCTTCACTGGATACTGTAATAAACACTTTTTACCTGGTCCTCTTATATCTCTTCCCTTGCTATGCAAGCCCTGTCTCTTGTTTATACAATTTTTAACTCGTATATTGGGTAGACTGTGTATTTGTTATGTATTTTATATTATACAGTTTTGTGTACAAGTAATTATTGTTATTTACTGGACTAAGGGGTATACATGTGTTGGAGTTTTTCTCTTATTTTTCTTCTCTTGCTCTGCATGCCCTGATTCTTGTATAAACATGATGTTTGTTATATTGTATATTCTTGTATTGATTGTGGTATTTTGGGGGTCAGATTCAGCAATACCCAATGGGTACTTGCTGAATCACTGTTTTATACACTCTGTAACCAGTTCCAGTGTTCCGTCCCTTGCCCTGCAAGCCCTGTTTCTTGATTATACAGCATTTATTTATCGTGTATTACACTGTAGTATGTAATAAACATTTGTAGTAGTGTAGGATTGTTTGAATTTCTTTTTGCTAGGTTTTATAATATTTATTTGTATAATTTGTGATTGTTTCTCCTGGTTTTCTTCCCTTGCGTAGCAAGCCCTGTCTCTTGTAAAAACAACCTCGAAAGATTTGTAGATACACATAGTCTCTACACCTTTACCCTCTGGTCCCTAGGATCAGCTGATCCCGGGCCAGAGGAAAACTACCGACTGCCAAGGTTTGACGCCTAGGCAGTCGAGACCTCTTATTGAGACCCTTTATAATAATAATAAAGATTTTGGCCACACAGCCAACTCAATTCGATCATTAAAACCCTACTCGAACTCAACTCGATTGCAGTTCACATCAAGTTTAATCAATTCTTTTAAAAAGAAAAAAACTTTGAAATTTGCATTAAGACTTTTCATTAGGCACACATTTACTGTTGAGTCCCACGCAATCACATTTATATTAATCAGTCTTAAGCTGTGAGTTGCTACCCATTGATGATCTAAGAGTTCTGGGTGTAATTGTCCGTCCTTCCCACTTCCCACAGTTTACTACCTCCCCCCTTCTAATCACCCACTTAACTTCAGGTTGCTCTTTAATTTTCATTTTGAGCTGTGCAACTAGTTGGTTTCTTGCCTTTTGTTCAGCTGGGGTTCTGTCTGGTGCTACGTAGACACCAGAAAAGGTATTTATCCGCTTTCAGTCGTGGTTTTTTAAAGTAATAAAATATTTTCAGTCTTTCCTTTTTACTATCCAATTTGCCTGCATCTTGATTTTTCTCCTTCGAATAAGTTAGTCTAAGTTCAGTTTTACTTAAACGAATAGTACATAGTATTATATAGTTCTATGTTTACAGTACATTGCAATGTAGAATGTAGATGCACTGAAGGGGTACCGTAGTAAGATCATTGATCCTTTGGCCCCTTGGTCACGGTTTTTCAACTTTATAGTTGTTTCTGATAGTAATAGAGAGGAGTAATATGTATCAGCTGCTTTTCAAATCAAATCGAATAAAAAATAATGACATAAACATCATCACTAGTCTTGAACATTCTTCCTAATTTCTTCATTATCAGTGTTACGATTGATGGAACAAGGGAAGCCAGTACTTCCTATAGGTAACTTGCTAAAGGGGATAAAACGAGGGTTAATAACATTGCATCATCAGTATTATTATATAAATATACTATATAAATACTGCACTGAACATTTCACAGTCTTCGTCATTGAAAAACAAACAAATTTTAACATAATTTGGCTTTTGGTACCATGGAAAAATGTCGTTCCTAGTTGAATTTATTGCCTGTTAGAGGTCAGTGCTTGTGAGTAATTGTATTGCGTGAGTGATATTTAATCGCACGCATTGAAAATGAAGTCTTAAAATCTACCTTTTTTAGAGGAGATTGTCCGGAAAGAATTTTACGCAAAATTTAACATTTTCTTCTAGAAATAGGCTTTACCCGCAAATTCTATCAAAACAACTAATTTGTCCAATTTGACAATCTTACTTATCAACATGAAGTGATACGCCATTGCTCTCTCGCTGATCATTTTTATAACTCACTAAGAAAAACTTTATAATGTTAGATTATTATCGTTGACTGTCATGTTATGATGTCATTAATTATTATATTATATTAATTATACCAAATCTTTACAGGAAGCCATGGCATTTCCTCCAAGTCCAACTATTTTGATGGTCCGAAAACTTCCGATAGACTTAAGTAACGAAGAAGCATCTGATCTTTTACAATATTTTGGTGCCAAGTCAGTCAGTGTCATGAGCCCGAGAGGTCACATGAGAGGCACTGCGTTTGCAGAATTTGGTTCTCGAGAGGAAGCTGATATTGCCCTAAAAAAGTTACATCAAGCACCACTTTTTGGTTCAAGACTCGTTGTTCAATATTCAGAAAAGAATTTCATGCCTTTTGAGGCGCCAGATTCTGTTATTTTACCTCAACCTCCAAAGGCCACAGAAAAGCCTCCACAACCTGAAAGAGTGGGTTTGAAAACCGAAAGTTTACCGGACCATTCTCTTCACTATTTGTACCCACCCCCTACATCGCAGACACTTAGTAACATTTCTCATGCTCTGGTTGCTGTACCTCACTTTTACATCCAAGTTTTACATCTTATGAACAAAATGAATCTTCCTCCTCCATTTTCAAAGTCGACAGAAAAATCTATATTTGAAACAAGTGCATCATTACCACCACCTTTACCATCTTCATCTGAGTCAGAATTAGAGTCTGACCATGAGGAACCCCAAGAATTGGTTGAATCTAGAACACTTGAAAAGGAAAAGGAGATTTTGGAGGAAAAGAGGATTGCTACTCAGGCGTTTATTGAGAAGCATATGCCTGAATCAGAACGAAAACGTAAAAGAGAGATTTCTGAACCTGATCCTGGCCATACAGTTAAAATGAGCAAAGCAGTTTGTAATGAGGAAAGCAAATCTTCGTCAGTAAATGAGTCAGTTGATATGGATTTGAGCGATAGTGAAAACACTGAAGCTGTGGAATTACCTACAGTTAAACCAAGCGAAATTGATGTGCCATCAAATAAATCATCTCAAGAGCCAGAAATTCCGTCTAGTTCAAATGTTACCACTGAGATGAAAAACAGAGCAATCCCCAAACCTCTCAAACCTGATTATGAAGAACCCACTTCAAGCTCAGAACCTACATCAATGGTAGGAAGTCAGTCTGAAAAATCATTTGAGGCTGCAATTCCCGAAACTATTCCTGAAAAGATAGCAGAACTACGCAAAAACTACGCAGAACTACGCAAAAAACTACGCAAAAAACAGTTTATTGATCATCAAACGACTGTCAGATCAAAGTGCTTGACTCCTGATAATTTTGCTGAACACGCTGTACTCAAAAGGTATGTCAAAGGAGATCCTTCCTCAAAGCTGTACATAAAAAATCTTAACCACAAAGAGGTCCAGGAAAAGGATCTAAAAGATTTGTTCAGACCTTACCTCGAGTTTTATGGTCGTGATGAGCAGGACAATGTACCTGAACTTCAAATAAAACTGATGACACGTGGTCAGATGAAGGGACAAGCTTTTATCACGCTACCCAATGTTGAGGCATCAGAAGTTGCATTGTCCGATTTGCATGGGTATGTTTTACATGGAAAACCTATGGCCATAATGTTTGCTAAGTCTAAGTGATACTTAGATCACACTTTATTCAACAAACATTAATTATAAATCAGAGGCAACATATTCACAATACCGTAACTGTCCTTTTTCTCACTTTTTACACAGTTGGGAGATTTTGGGACTCGTTAATACGCTGCACATTTAGATCCCTGGGAATTACAATTTCTTGTTCCCACCTCACATATCCATCATAATTGGATCTACCTATTGATTAGTCCACTTATTTCATGCTAATTGATTGCTGGTTGAATGCACAATTCGCAAAATTTTGCTGCTCTTATATGTTGCCTCTGTTGTAAATTGATTAAACCTTTTTGGTCAATTTTTCAGTATGTCATGCTTTATTCATACTTATTTCTTTAATTTCGGCAAGAATTTACCCGAAAATATTTAATTTAATTTATTTATTTCAATGTATTAATCACAATAATTTTTAACTTGATGTCATGGAAAGTTCTTGATGTTTTATATGGATCCGTTTTATTATATCATGTCTCATTACATATTTTACATATTGTACGTTAGTTTAACTACATAATCAAAGAATACAATGCTGATTATAAAATACTAACCATTGGAATGAGCCAAATTTAACCTCTATTTGCTGCATTGGATTGTATCAATTGACTTTAAAATGTCGATAATTTTCATTGTAATATATATTTACTTTTAAGGTATTATTACTATGCCAACTGATGACCGAAGTAGTGACGTGAGAAGAGTGAAAATACCAAGAAGCGATTCTGGTGAGAAACATTATTCTAAAATAAATAATTTTTCTTTTACTTCTTATGAAATGAGTCAATTAAATTTCTAATCCTTTAAAAATGTCCCATTGACTGTCATCTCGGTGCTGACTTTTCCTACACGTCGTATCATACTCTATATCCAAATAACGTCCATCTTGTTTCCAGGGTTCGGTTTGACGGTATGTGGAGGATCAGATGTGCCTCATAAGGAGGGTGACAGTGGCATATTTGTGAGCGAAGTGTCCCGCTCTGATATCGACCTCTGTGTTGGTGACAGAATACTTGAGGTTTGAAATAGTTCTAATTCTTGATATTTAATAGTTTAATTTTGACTTATCAATTATCATGGTGATAGTTTTTTCTCTTCTTTTAACTTTATATCAGATACTGGTTAGTATAGTGGTTGGTTATCATGCGATAAAAACAAATTTACTATTTGAAAATTTCGTTGATGGGAGTTGTTCTCATGTTCTTCAATAGTCCTAACCTCGTCTCATTCAGGCGAACAGAGAGACGCTGATGGACGTGTCTCACGATGAGGCCATCAGAGTACTAAAGAGCTCTCCCAACGTGTTGGAACTTTTAGTGGAACCTGCTCAGCTTGAATTCAGTGTAAGTAGCACTTAAAATTAGTTGTACATCACCTGCTTTACTTAATATAACTGTACAATGTACATTACTGTGCATTACTGTGCTATACCTCAAAACTCTGGCCGCTAAAATCTCAATAATAGAATCATGCACTAAAAGCTCTAAATTTAGAGATCAGCTCTATGCGGCTGTGAGCCTGCCTTCACCTGCTTTTAGTAGTGCTAATCTCGTATAATTTTACAAGCTTACATAAGTTAGCTGCGTCTTAATCCTAATGTCTGTGATTTAAAGCTGACGACCAGCACAAATTTGCAGCTATTAGCGAAAACACTTATAACTATATATATAGTATTGATGTACAGTCATGTAAATGAATGGTATCATACCCAGTTTTAGATTACTTAGACATTCTTAAAAGGGGATATAAAAGTTGAAACAAGTGTGATATTCACACCAGAACAAGTGTGATATTCACACCAGGACCTCTTGAAATGTACTATTTACTATTTACTTGTAATAATTGTAGGTAGTTCTTATCCAGATCTCATCTTCAGGTATCAACTGACGACTTAGCAAGTCTTATGATGACAGAAAACGGTTTTATCCACACAGACTCGGTGAGTGTTGAATTTTACCCTTTTTCTGATCTGTAGAATTTAACTCAGTTCTGTAATTATATCTCGAATATGTTGTCATGGTTATGATAATATCTGTGTGTATCGTGTCGCTGACTGAGCGTTTATTCGTATTTCACTGGCTAAGATTGAGAGATAACCGCACTGTGTGATGTGTGGTATCATAATAATATGTACTGTGTAGACTGTTCAATCTAGTCAATATAAACAATTGCTTTCAATCTCCTTTAGCTTATTTTACGGAAAAATATGGTCCAGTCTGGTGTATTGCTTCCTACCGAAGCGTAAAGCTGAAACATTTTTACTTCTTAACTTCCAAATTTACCATATCCGTTATCAAGTATTTGAATTCGTGAATTGAGATGTACCATTCCATAAGATCAACCTCTAAATTTAGTGTTACACAAAATGTACAACCACCCCTTATCCCAGAAACATGACCCATAAACCACGTACACACTACACAGCTATAGTATTGTCTGTGTCACGACCCACTACTGACCTACCAATATATACCTAATACCTGCCTAATTTGTTCTCATGAATGTTGTGCAGTTGTACAAGTTGCTTACTGGGCTACGCCGGGTGGTTCGCCCTATTTTCCTGTAATTAGCTAATTATAGTACATAACGACTACCAATTACACTGATTTATTAAGCTGGTGATGGGAAAACTGGGTTGCAGCCTCGTCCGGTACGTCTTATTACTGTATATACTCCACTACACTCTTTAAATACAGCTACAGGTAATAGGTCTAATACTGTCTTATACGATGCGGAGAAGAGTACATGTAATGATTAATGAATATATGCAGTATGCACTATTGCAATGTTCAGCTCGGGTATATTTGTAGTGTAATTAGCTGCGGGAGCGATTTTAAAATATACATTTGAGTGTGGTTACTGGTTCATTGGTTGACGTGAATAATTAAGGTTATAAGAAGAATGAGTTATGCAAAAAACGTGTGTTGTTCTCTCAGCTGTTATCTTGTTATCTGTATCTGCCATGTTATTACGTGTGCAGTGTAAGGGAGAACATTAGATTCTTAAAGTCTTGGGGGTTGAGGTAAAGGTTCCCTTCTGTGCTCTATTTCTACGTATTAGGATGTACTCAGATGAATTCAGATGCATTGAATGTATAGTGTATACTATTCAGATATTCCAGTTCTAATAGAAAAACAAATTAATGGCAATATAATAATAAATCTCAGTATCGTCAAAATAATACATCAAAGTTTTGAGCTGCTCATTTTTTCAGTAAATTTAAAGTTCAACGTCGTCGTCAAGTTTTCTTCGTTGTCAAAATCTAAAGAAATCAGAAACTGACAAAATGCAAAAAATGTATCATCAAATAAGGTATAAACGCCTAGATTGCCGTGAACTTTTTATAATCTCAATACTGAAACTCCGTTTCCTTCGTCGTTATTTCTCTTCAGGCGTGGCTCATGAGCAGACACTTTTTATCCAATAAACCAGACAGTTACACATGGTTTGCTTTCAAATTCTGAAAGGCATTAGACAGATTTTTTAAAAGACTGTAAGTGCCTTGTGAGTTTTTGCGGATGATTATTATCCAGCAGTAGGTCTAACTCTAGTTCCTTGAGCCAATCTGAAACTAGGAGTGAATACTATGAACACAATAGGATTAAAGCAAGACAACAAAACTGGGGCAAGAACTACAGTGAAAAACTGAACAACTAGGGTTCTGTAATTACCATGGCCACCAGAGAATACAAAGACCATCGAGGAAACCATCGCGATATTGTTGACGATACTTCCGAAGTTCGTTACCAGGATTTTGAAACTGCTTTTCCTTGAGATAGCTGATTGCTCGGCTAGTGGCTCTCTCCTGACCTTCCAGAGGTGGTGGATGGTAAGGAGTGATGTTAAGAACGATAGAAACTGGCAAATGACACTCGGAAAAACATAAATAAGTGGAATAAATCGCTTAGCGCTACGTTTTAACCCTAAACTATTCGTAACCAATTGTTTATCAACGTGGTACACAGAATCACTGTGGAATGCAATGTAACCATTCATAACTAGTGTATATATTTCAAAAATCACAACAGATATGACGATATGTTTCAGCCTCAACGGGTAGAAGGGGAATCTAATTTGGATGAACCTGCAAATAGCCATTAAAGCTGCTATGAAGTTCGGTGTCAAGACCATAATCCATGCCACCAAGCTGTAGAGTCTTACTGGAATATCTAATACGTATCGTACCCTCTCAATACATCTCTCCGATTTTTGTAAATTATTCTCGGCTACAGAGCATTCCTCTCCGACAGCCTCTAGTACCACTTTTATTGGTATGAATATGCAGGTAAAGAAGTCGAAGACTGCTAGAAACCGGAAAAGGAAAACTGCCACTGAATTTCGTTTTCTGCAGTTGTAGATGAATACGGCCGGGTTAGCAATACTGGAGATGATAAAGCAAGTCACAAGATACAAGATTACAAGAATGTCGGGATAGCTTGTCCCACCTTCACTGAATATTGCCATCTTCTGATGAAATGTAACTAAATTTTAGTAATTCATTCAAGTCAACTGAATCAGTAAAATATAGTATATCTACGAAGATCCTTAAATGTTAGAACATATTATAAGACTAAAGTAAAATGAGTGCCCACAGAGGAACGACCAATTGCGCCCTCGTCATCAGCAAACTAAAGAATACTAACCCCACTCAACACGAGAAATATTCTCAAAACGTGCCTAACATCATAAACACGTGGAACTTAGAAAAGCGTAGGGCAGACGTTTATCACATGCATCTCGCAGTTAACGTTACAGCTGCTGATTTATTATAATGACTTGAATATTGCAGCTGATATTCGACGATGCCTAGGTTTATAAATTACTAACTATACCCCATGTGGATTGTGGATTGTGGGGGACCATTGGCTCATCGTTATTAACTGTAGCAGGTGTTTTTAGGAACTCAATATAAGTATTGATTAAATCCTTCCCTTGCATGATGTAAATTAGTCTGGTGATCTCCAAACATTTAACCGGCATAATAGGTCTACACAACACTCACCAGAATTATTTTGTTTTTGAACGGTTGTTTGCTCGTTACTTAAACATGTGAGTGTGAGTGTACACTCTATAAACAAAGAAAATTAGTTTCATCAAGGGAAGTTGCTTTAGCATATTATAGTTAGTATGTAAATTGTTAAAGCTTTATAAAAATAGAAGTCACATACTAGCTTGTATTCACATCAAACAATTTAACATGAATAAGTACATTGTGACAATTTTGCTGCATACACACTTTTTGAACTTATCGATTTTGCAACTGAAAAGTTGGGCCACTTTTTTCAAAAATGACTCATATGAACGATGTTAAAATGTTGTTGAGTCTGTGTAATATAACTGAATATAATCACATCATCTTATTACTTTATTACATCAGGAATACCCCTTGACGTGGTAGCCAATAGGAAGAAAATTCTCGATTAAGAACCGTCGCTGGTGCATTTATCATTGAAGTATTACCATAGAATAAAATTATTGGAAATATCATTAAGATATGTTTCCTTCAAATTAAGTTAAGGGTGTAAAGAATGACTTTACTCAGAAATAAGGATTAAGGCTAGTTTATGTGCGGTGTCCACGTCACGTACAGCCAGTCGTGTAGGGTAACTGATATATGATAGTTATACCAATAATTACTCCGCAAACCTTTAATTAATTAATTATTACCTGCACACAATCTGAAACTCCACTGCCATAAAGTAATGGATTTGTGTGTAATATGTTTAGCTTTCATTTTAGACTTCACGTCTCCCGAAATAAAACTGCGAACAAAGTGAAACAAGGAACTAAGTAAACTGTAAAACCAAATTTCGTCACGCATTGGACTTTATCAAGGTTACACTTGATAAAGTGTATTTCGGGAGACGTGAAGTCTAAAATGAAAGCTAAATTCGTCTCAAACTCACGCTCAGCCTTAAGATATATTTGTGTAATATGTTAGCAAAGAAGTAGTCCAGTGTACGATGTATAGTTACTTTTAATGCAGTACACACTGCAATAAGTGACGTTTCCTTGGGCGAGGTGGTAATCACATAATATGTGTACACATGGTTAGTTTTTAAACCTTCACGAGGAACCAAACCTGATTGTTTTTAAGCATTATCTCATTATTAGATACTGAAAAAGTAGGAAGCTTTGCCAAGTGTCCAGAATTTCAGTCACGTTTTTGGATAATTTCGAAACCTGGTTTATCAGGGTTTCTTATTTCTGATCACATCTTATGTTCTTTATCTGAACCAGCATGATAAAATCTGGATTAGCGCAGGAGTGTAAGGTTACCACGATTCATCGGATGTTGAGTGTTTAATCTTTACTCAGATTTCGATCATGTGCCATTCGGTTCAATCAGAAATACTCGCGAGAACCGGATGGGAATCAGCCTTAACTCAGCTCAATTGAAGCTTCTTGTCGCCCATCTTGGTCCATGTTTAGACCTGGTGCAATAAAAAGTACCCTTGGCAATGTATTTTAAGTAGCTTTAGATTAACATATTATACTTGTTTCAGCCGATGGTGGAGTCAATCACTGAGGTAGATTTTGGGGTGAGTTAAATACCATAAACATGTATAATTACACCCACCGCACACCCCCAATGTAGCCATGAAAGATTACGTGTATTCATAATATCCTGAGTTGGCATAATTGATAAGGCTTCGTGTCTGTCATTGAAATACTGTACGTTTCTTCAGTAACTCCACGACACGTACCGGCGGGTTATGTTAATTATAACCACATTTCAGACGCGGGAAGAGAAATTTGCAGAGCCTCCGCTCGAAAATGGAATCTTGGTACGTGAATTATTTGTTTAGTGTAACTCTCTGACTATTCTCTTATGTCTTATCGGTGGGATTCGTACAAAATATTGATGTACTAATTGCAAAACCAAGAGCTAGCTGTAAGGGTTGGACGTGTTTCGACGTAACACGCGAAGCCGAACGCTTTGCGTGTGAATAAAATCTATCGCCCAAGCTAAATTACGCGCGGCGCAGATTTTAAAATTCAAGCCAGTCTGAATACAGGCTTTGTTGAATGCGTGTGGGTGTACCATGATGATAAACCATAGGCCGTATTATCTTATCGGCATAATATGATAAGCCCGGACCAGCTGTTGTTTTTGTGTAGTCTTGGTTGGGTCCCTGTAGTAAATCTATATTTATTGACCAGTAACCAGTAACCAGTAACCACCATAGTTTGCTTGATACTTCTAACATACCATTATATCATATTCGCTGAGGTCTGTACACTATTCTGACAGATACTGTGATTATTCGCTAGATGGAATAATCACAGTACAGATTACAGCAGATAGCAGCCACGCTGTAATCTAATACAATATAATTCTCGACGTATTCGCTAATTCGTGTTGCTCTGTATATTACAACAACAGGTTTTAGCCTTGTTAGCTAGTCAATAATGCAGTGTGCTCGCTTGATAATGTACTCATGCACTGTGCGTCTGGCTCGCGTGTTATAGACGATCAATTTTTCACGTACACGTGTAATAGACAAATCTTGCTGCGTTATCACGTTATGGAGATCTAAATAGCGTTCCCTTTTAAAGTGATCTTATAATATACCAAACTTGGATAGTAGAAACTGGAAATGATTAATAAGATGATGACTCATTTTATTTCTGTTATTTCCTCTGAGTTTTTGCTTCATGTCTGAACCTTAATTGCAAGTCCACGGCGACTAAATGCAATTATTGTTCATTGCTTGGTTACTGTTAGTGTGTTGACAGACATTGTAATTTCCTAATATGGGACAGTTAATATCCCAGTGTTTCATCTAGTAACAGTCTAATTTCACTCTGTTTGTTGTAATACTGCGGTTAAATTATATTCACTTATATTCATTTTAGGAGATTACATCCTAGTTGTAACATAGACTTTTCTTTAACCATTAATTTAATTAAACTGAAAAACTGAGTCGGTCACCTTATTAACTTGTTGCTATGGTAATATACAAGGATTATTATGTTCTGTTGAATGGAATACATGGATAGTGTATAATATATGTGGATACCTGTGAGCCATTTGATTAATCGATAGTAGATGTCTCGTAACGGCGTCCATTGACTTGTACTTCGTTTCAGTTCCACACTGTAATTAATAAAGAGAAACGTTCTCTATTCAATATGTCACGAGCTAACTCACTTCTTTTATACTACATAACCATACACAACACATTACCTTCTGTCACGTTAGTCTTTTGATACCGTTCTATACTGTTCTATATACTCTACTGTATAAGTACTCTGTGATAAACAGTAAACACCTTCTATTCAGTTGTACTTGATATTTGGTCGCGTTTGTATCGTGACGAGCAGAGTGTACGTGTTTTAACTTTTATGGAATTTTATTCATTATATTGAATTATGGCCATTAGAGGGAACATCGCTACCTCACATCCAACGGAAAGTTAAATAAATACTGTAGTTCTAGAGCCGTGTAGTTGTACACACAAGTTCTTATTGTATTATCCCTTACTTCACATGCCTCTACATGGTATAATAACATATTACATCAGTAGATACCTTTACTAATCTACTGTTCGTGTGCGACGTTAGGGATTTTCTTATCAAATTTTATTGCTAATACTGCTTTTTAGGTGGGTTTGCTATAGACATTTTCACATCGATTATTATCTGTGGTTTAAATTTATCGCAATTTGCAGATAAAATGTTATTTTTTGCTTAATTTGCTAAATGCTAATCAACTTAAAGTTTAAACTTTGTTGAACAATTGATCTTTAACAACTCATGGCTACCCTGACTGTACTGTTTTGGATATATAGTTATTTGAACTACGGTTATTGAAATCGTCCAGATGGCACATTAAATTATTGTAAGTTGCCATGTGAATCAGTACACACTGAAGTTTGTACGTTGGTATCCATCATAATCACATATAGAGGCTGTTGACTTTTGTTATCATTGGTATGCTGATATACATGGAATGCTAGGAATTTCCCCATATGGCATGGTGCACTTCTTATCAATATTTGCACAGTGTGATTACCTCTTATCAAGGGTAACCCGATAGTGTGACTACTACACACTGTATTTTGAGTTTGAGTAGCTGAATTTTCAAGCGTGCAACAATTTTACTGGTCAAACTTGATATCACGTGATCTCTTGGCGAACCTATAAGTTAAGTAGTTCAATCACCTCACTACACAAACATGTTTCTCTTGGTCCTCCTTTTAGTTCTGGTTGCAGGATGAAGAAAGATTTTTGTATAATCCTTGGCAGTCTTTGACTTGATGAATACGATATTCATATTTTCGGTCCAATCACACGATTGCCATATGTTGTAACCAACACGACCCTTAATTATATCTACCTTTTCATTAACCCATTTGTTAAAATGTGCTTTGTGGATTTATCGTTTAAGAGAAAGTCCCTCCCTCGCTTTTTATGAGTCTACTTGATTAACTCATTTAAATGATATTTGTGGTTAGAAACGGAATTTATGATTCGAGGTATTATTGCGATCCATTACTCCCCATTCGATAAGATTTCAAAGAATAAAGGAACATCAAACAACGGTCTTGCTTCAAACGTCACATATTCGATGTGACGTTTGAAGAAGTAGTATACATTATGTATGATTTAAATCCATCATGTAAGTACTAAGTAGGGGACATGCTCCTCAGCAACCAGCCGAGTGAGTTAAACCAACTCTGATAAAATCGACATTTCAATTTTGATCCAGCTAAATATTGATTGGTCGCTAATATAGCCGCTATATTTCCTAGAACATCATCGAAAGCAAACAGTATTTGGCATATTTTCAAAAATTAATGATTGTATGAACATAATTCGATTACTAAATCAAATCATTAAGAGTCATACTTAAACTATTGATTCTTACAATACCCAATTAATAGTGTTATCTTTAATCAGTAGTCTTCTTTCTGTCACCTGTAGTCTGATTACCCGGAAAATACCCAAGTTAATGTTGTGGGAGTCGTGTGTGTGTGACACTACTCTCTTGACTGCAATGTATTGAAATGAACATAATGTACTCTAACACATCACACCTGGCGTGCGCGCGTCTTAAGAGAGTAGCTAGGAGGATGATTGTGATTTGTATACTCTAATTGTAACTCGTAAAGAGTGGACCGTGTTACGTGTGTAGAGGAGCTCCGTGTATAAATGAGTCTCGTGATTATAGTGCTGGGTCACAGTGTTATACTTCGGGGGCTGCTCACTCCTTTATAGTTTGTGTGCTGTCGTATTATTTTACATAATATGTTGTAAAGTAAGTTTTGCAGCTTTGACTGTGACTGGATTCCTCAGAATATTTGCCTAGTATATTTTGTAATGTACACTTTAGTTTATGCCTTCTTTAATTAAACACTTCTAAATAACACGATCTAAGATTTAACATTTTGAATATTGTATTTAAAGATCTGTAAATCGAATTAAATTTTCTTATGCATACCTCCAATCTCCATATTATATAAGTTGTAAACTCGAAAGTCGTGATTTTCGTATTTTGCCGTGTCGATTGCGATGTAATATGAACTGCCACGGGTCCACTGGGAAGTTGCATATCCGATAGGCGTGATTTCACGTTGTCTTGCTATTAAGCAATAAAGATATTTGTCTCAAAAGACCGTGATAGCTCACGCTAGAACTGTTATACCGAATAAGTTTTTATAAATGTAATACATTTGTAGCGTTGTTTAACTGCAATACCCTTCTCTGTATGTGCCAATCATTTCAATTGCTATCTTTGATAGAGCGAGCCCATATTCCAGTAATATATCAAACTTATCAAAGATCACGTGCTTTCTCTGTTGTAAGATAATGACTAATGACATTAAAGTTTAAACTGGTAGGTCATGAGATCATGGGCCGTCTCCAGACTGCAGTTGCCCCACTGCCCCAGTGCGGAGTGCGGAGTGCGGAGTGCGGAGTGTGGGAATTATTCAAAGATTTATTGTTTTACACAGTTTCTTCTTTTGTTGTTCAGTGGTCATGTTGTTGACAGTGAAACATTGTCAATTAGTTGTTTAAACATATGTGTTTTGTATCATGTTCAATGATTCTAGATTGGATTTACTAGTTGTATTATGGCATGTTTCTAGATATATTGTGTTTCACCCCACAGTCACCAACCTCTGAGGTTGGTAACCTCACTGTTTTATAACTTTCTATAAATATTTAAAGAATTTTACGATAAGATAAGAACGAAATGAGAACCGCATAATCTTTTTTCATTTTATTTAAATCATACTTCTTTGTGGCATGTTGTACAAAAAATTTACAAATTTTGCCGTACCGCGCTCCGATGTATATAGTCTGGTATTCATACCTTGGTATGACATTCTCGTTCAACGATATAACTGGACCTTAATCATGTTAATGGGATCCAACATCATACCACTGAAATAAAACTTGATTTCTGTGAAAATAAACGATCTAAAATACTCATCCATTTGGTCGTTACTAAGAATCAGTGATCGCCCAGTTTTACTGAGAAAAGTGTACGTGCTTACTAGGAAGTAAATGTAGCGTTTATAACCCCTGATCTCAACCTTTTAGTCCTATTTTATGCAAAAGTTCTGCGAGGCTACGTCGTTTTGTTCAGTACCGTTTCATATATCAGATTTTTTTCAAAGTTTTTTGATTTGGGTTCATTTGCTTTTGAAAACGCTGCCGACTTTTATTTTCTAATCTTTGCTCCAGGGCCTCAGCTTTTTGAGTCCTCCATCTCCATTTCAGACACTAGTTTAAGCTAGTTTTTTTGAGCTTCTATACAGCGCTTTCCTTTTCAAGT